CCTTCTCCATACCCTAAACCTCTCCTTCTTGACTTCCAAAACCCTTCTTATATCTTCATCCCACCACCACGTCTCACCATGCCTACACTTTCCTTTCGTCCATCCACATACTTTATCTGCCGTAGCCAACACACAGTCCCTGTATCTCTCCCAAACATCTCCATCCTTACCACTCTCCCAATTTTCAGTCACCTTCACTTCAAATGCCTTCCTCACCTCTGCATCCTGCAACTTCCATGTCTTTCTCTTTGCCACAAACTTATCCTTCTTCCTCCTCCCCATTTCTTTTGATGTCACATCCATCACAACCATACTATGCTGCAACATACCAGGTATCGCCTTCACATTCTTCACATACTTCCTATGTTTGGCCCTTACCAATATATAGTCGATCATCGATCTATTTTCCCCTGACCTATAAGTAATCAATCGCGCTGGTTCCCTTGTGAACCAAGTGTTCCCCACCACCATGCTGTGTGCATCCGCTAACTCCAACACTCTACGCCCTTCCTCATTCCGTATACCATATCCCCATCCCCCATGCACACCTTCATATCCGTCTGCATCCGCCCCCACATGACCATTCAAATCACCCAACAACACCACAAACTCATTCAACCCCGCTTGCCCAATCTCGTCAGAAACATCATCATAAAACCTATCCTTCTCCTCTTCCTTCCTACTTTGTTGATATCACCCTCACTATTACTTTTCCAAACACCATCACCACCACAATTACCCCATTGCTTCTCCGCCTCACTTCCAACACCTTCTCCACCAACTCTTCTCTTACCATCACACCAACTACTCCCGTACCATCATCCCCCTTCCACCACAACTTATATCTTCCACCTTTAGCCCCCACAAACCTTGTACCCTCACCCTTCCATCTGACCTCCTGTAATGCAGCCACGTCAACCATTCTCCTCTGCAGCTCCTCCACCACTTCCAAACTTCTTCCTGTCAACGTGCCTACATTCCAGGTACCAAACCTCCAACCCCTTGGTCTACAATTAGTTTATATGTAATTATTTATTAAACTTTCATTTGAACATCCATGTATGTTCAATTTTATTCATTTTATTATACTGGTTTATTATTTATATAATTGCTATTTTTGATGCTTGTGTATTATTTTTTGGAAACTTGGAATTGTAAACTTTAGGTACTTGATATTGATTTACCCATCTTGTTTATTAAATTATTATTTAAATAAATACGTCAAATAATAAATCTTATTTATATAAGACTTATATAATTTTATTTTTTGTCAACCAACCAACCAACCAGCCAGCCAGCTAGCCAGTCAGCCAGTCAGCCAGCCAACCAACCAACCAACCAACCAACCAACCAACCAAATAAATACTTTAAACTTAAACCTAAATAACGTTCTACATTTGCTTCAAAATCGAAATTCTTTCTTCAACCATAATAAAATAATTGATTGATTGAATATAAAATAATTAATAACTCATATTCTAATAACCTTAAGTCTAGTAATAACATAAAAACACAATAAGATTTTTTATGAATAAGTAAAATTAAAATAAAGTAAATCAATAAAAACCAATGATTTTGCCATAGGATTAGCGTTATAATGCTCAACAAGAATCTTGGCAATTACATATCTGTTATGAAGAGCTGCTAGGTGTAAGGGCGTATATCCATTCTGCCGTTTCAAAAAACAAAAACATTATTTTTTGCTGAATTCAATACTTGATAATAAGTTAAAAAAAACCACTTTTGAAACTGCAAAAACGTCAGCTTTGTGTTGAAGAAGTAACAATGTAATTTTATGATATCCATACTGTATAGCATAATGTAGACATGTTAGTCCAAACTTGTCAGGAATATTCGGATTGGCATGCACGTTTAAGAGGTACTCTGTCATTTCCAGATGACCTTGCTTACATGATAAGTGCAACGGAGTTAATCCTTTCTGTATAGATTTTTTAATATTAAAATAAAATTCTTAGTTATCAAATGGATATAAATTAAATTTATGAAAATCAAGTAAAGCTGAACAAATGCATTTGTTGTCCCTTTCCCACCTCCCTAGACTAATTTAATTAACGTATCATCAAATGAAAATCACCAATTGTTTATATCGAATTTAAATCAAATATGTACATTAGATGTCTAAAGAAATTTTTTAGAATTAAATAAATGATTAAATAGCCTCAGATAGCTGAATCTAAACTAAAATAAAAAATATACAGAATGAGTATATTAAATAAAAATTAGGTTGATTAAGTAAAAAAATTTTTTTACATAGGTTCAAAATGTTCGAGGTCAGATAGTTATTATTTCTTTATTTTAATAGAAATCGTTTATTTTGTATACTTTATAACTAATGCTTTTATATAAATCAGGGTGTTGTAGCGGTGAATCGGTCGAAGGTTTTTGCAGGAGTCGATGACTGAGTCGGAATTTTTAAAAAGAATGAAATCAGATATTTTTCATTCGACTCCAAAAATGATAATTCAAAATCAAGTATTTTAGAAGATGTTTACGGTGTGTGAAGTGTTTAAGAAAAAAACTATGGCAAAATTTTATCGTTGTGAGAAAGTTTATTAATGCATAAAAGTTTTATATTTTTTATGTTATATTTATTTGTTACCATTATAAATATTCAAGTGCTAAACAAAATATGATTATTTCATGATTTATGCTTTTCAAGTTTCAATCGATTTTACAAGTAGAGCATATTTGGATTTTTTACAAAAAACGTTTGAGCTAACCTTAATAAAAATTAAAAAAAATACAGCAAAAATATTGGTGGCCTTATGCAAACTTAACTTAAAAATAAAAATAATAACAAAAAAATCTTACATTTTTAAATGAACCGTACGTAAAATAGTTTTGAGATAGAGTGGTTTCGATGCTGTTAAATTGTTTCGCACTCTTAATTGTTTTGGTGTTTAATAGTTCTTTGATACTTTCAACCACTTAAATTTTTATTCAACATGAATTCATTCTTCTTTCTTTATCGTGCTTTTCAGGACAGTGGCAACCATCGACCTCCACAAAACTCGATTTTTATATGTGGCAATATTTAACAAGTGACACAAGGACTTCACGAATGCTGTTGACCGCGATCATTTTTCCCTACAATCTTTCCAGTAGTTGTTAGATTTTCCATTCTTTCCTTCCGCATGATGTGACCAAAAAACTTTAACTGCCTCCGTCGGATTATCTGTAGTAATTTCCTTTTTTAATAACCTAACTGTTTTAATACATCCTCATAAGGTCCAACTAATTTTCATAATTCTTCTCAAAAACCACATCTCAGCAGCATTAATCTTTTCTCCATTTCTTTAGAATTTGTTCAGTTCGGAGTAAGTTAGCACAGTAAAAACGTTACACCCTAACAGTTTTAATTTTGTTGATATTCTGATTTTACTGTTGGTGAGGATGTTTTTCATTTTGGAATAAGCATCTATAGCCACAGCTATTCTTTTTTTGATATCCATATCACATTTACAACCTGAGATAAATGAGGCTGTTGACTTCTTTCACTTGTTTACCATCAATGATTATGAAACAGATAAGGTTTTGCTTTTACTGATAACCGTTGCTGTTTTGTTGATGTTAATTTGCAAGCGTTTTCTTTCAAAAACTAGTTTGAAAACAATTTGCCGTTTTCCCATTGAATCTGCTATAAGAGCTGTATCACCAGTAAATTTTACATTGTTAATATTCACGCCTCCAATGGATATTTCAAGAATATCTTTCTTTCTCACGATGATCTCACTAAAAAGATTGTACAGGTCTGGAGAGAATACCCAGCCCTGCCTAACATCTTTCTTTATTTCGAAGAAACTAGTCTTATTGCTACCAACTTTCATCGCTGTTCCCAATAGAAGCTTTTGATAACTCTCGTGTCTTTTCTATCAATGTCAAAATTTTCCAATATTTCCATGAGCTCCACGTGTTTCACGATATCAAAAGCTTTGGAGTAATCGATAAAACATATAAACATGTCTTGCTTCATTTCAATCACTTGTTCACTGATTATTCGTAGCATAAAGCGTTTCTTAGCGTTTCTTGTGCCACAATCCTCTACAAAACCACATTGGACATTTGAAATTTCAGATCTGATTTAGCTTCGCGCTTTCATTATCTGAATTCTCAGGAGAAGTTTTGTAAGATGATTCATCAAGCTGATTGTTCAATGTAGTTCACATTCCGTTGTATTAAGTTTTTTAGGCAAAGCAATAAATATTGACTTGGATAGATCTTCAGGAATTTTGCCACTGTAATAAATCTCAGTCAAAATTTCTGTCACTTTTTCAATGCCATATTCATCTAGGCATTTAATTTTTCAACAACTATCTCATCTGGACCTGGCGCTTTATTTGATTTCATTTTGGAAAGAGCGGCGTGAACTTCAGATTTAAGTATCTTTGGTTGTTCTACGTCTTTTTTGATAAAAGACTTTTCACCACGGACATTATCAAAAAGATCGTTAATTAGTCCATCTTTCAAGTCCTTTTTCTTTCTCTAAGATTACTTCACCGGATTTAGCTTTTATGCATCCAGAAACGGTACAAGCCCCTTTTCTAGTGATTTCTTTGATGTCTTTATACATTGCATTTGTATTACTGTTTTCAATCTTCAATGATTTCTCACTTGTCATTTAACCTTGTCTCTTTTGCCTCTAAACACATTTTTTTGATTGTTTTGTTCAGCTTTTGTAACTATCAGGATTGCAACCTTTTACTTTCCGTCGTTCATCCATCAGATACAATGTCATCTGTTACCTATTTCTGACCTCTTTGCTCTTTCACAGGTAAAACTTCCCTTGCTGATTCTGTGAGGGCATCCCTAAATGTTTAATATTTTAATTTATTTATGTCATTCTGGACTTCAAAGTCATTTTGTGACAGACTGACAGAGTTCAAACATTTTGGGGCCATTTCACACTTGATTTTCTTGAACTTAATCCTCATTTTACAAACAACTGGGTTGTGATCAGAGTAACTTTTGACTTGTAAAACAGCATTTCGATATCGTCTATTGTAATATAATTAACTACATTTCTTGTCTTGTTTCCGGGACTCTTTCATGTATATTATATTTTCTCCTTGGGTGATTGTCAAACCAGATAGATGTTGGTAATAATTTGATCATTTGTGACACATCATTCAATCAACTTTTCTCTTCTTTCATTTCTTTCAACTATTCAATGAAAACCAAACAAGTCATGTATTTTTTCTGAGCCAACTTTTGCATCCAAGTCACACATCATAATAATTTTTTTAGATTTACTATTTTGTTATTAAAACATTATCAAGATCGCCAACGGACGTTGGTGCATAAACTTGAATAACAGCTAGGTTAAAAGGTTTGCGTGTATTTTGACCAACAAAACTCTATCTGACACCGCTCAGAAACTTTTTAAATGTTTAGACACTTTATTGTTCAATAATACATCCACTCCTCGGTTTGTGTAAATCATCTCAAAAGTTTAATATCAAAATTTTAAAATATTTAATAAATTCATTAAATATTTTTAATGTCTTTTTATTTTTTCACTCAACTATTATAATCCAAAGACTGTCTTAATTGAAATAAAACCATAAAAAATGTTTTATTTTTACGATAACATGTGTTAATTGATGAAAATATGAATTATTCTCTTTTTTAGTGCAGTTGTAATAATTACCAAATATGAAATTTCCATCTGCCACAAAAAAGTAATGATATTTAAATACAGTCACGAATAACTAACTAATAACTACCACTTGGCATTTATTTTAATCGTAAATTTGAAATAAACTTAAAATAATTATATTAATCCAAGAAAAAGAACAACATCAACTGATTTCAAATATTTTGTCAAATTATTCTTTATTTTATTATAAAATTATTCAAAATTATAAAGCAGAACTCTTAAAAGCTATTTCGGGAATCAAAGGCCTGCTTGCCTGGCCCTTACAATTTGTCAATAAGTTAATATGCAACATAGTAAGACGTTAATGATATTAAAAAAGTTTCTAAAGGGTTATGTATGTTAAACAAAAATCAATTGAACCAAACAGTATTATTATTAATTCATATTGTACATTACTTTATCCATATTTTATATATTGTATAATTATGTGTGTAAAAATATTAAGTCCCATATAAGCACACTTGATAAATGTCAAAATTGTTTTAGAAGAATTTTTGTACTTTTCCCTCTCAAATATTTTCAAAGTCTTAATTTGTCTTTATTTATTTATATTATCGTAAAAAACGAATTTCTATCATATCAAATGAAACAATGCTAATAAACAACGAAAATAGCAAAAACAACACACAAAATTATCAACCTTAGAAGAGGCATCTTTAATTGCTCCCGATGTTAAAAGAATTTCAGCAACCATTAAATTTCCTTCCCTAGAACATAGATGAAGAGGTGTGAGATAATTTGTTGATTGAGCATTTAAATCTGACCCATGAGAAACCAGTAATTTTAAAATATCTTGATGACCCAGCTGTGCTCCAATGTGCAACGCTGTGTGCATGTTCTAACAAAATAAGTGAAACATGAAAATATAGAACAGTATAAAAAACAATTAACGTAAATATTGTAACATGATTTTTAATAAGAGCAAACTTTAAATTCGATTTGAAATAAGGCTTGCAATCATTTTTTGCTTAATTATGCCCAGTTTGTCCACATACAATTCTATTCAACTTTTTAATTACTTTTTGATATAAGATGTTGCTATCAAATTTATTACATTCAAATTGGAATGTTGATTCATCAAGTGATGTAGTGCTTGAACTCGGGTACGATTTAAAGTATATATAAAGTTGTACTCATATTTTTCATTTTTCTTTCTACATGTTCTTGGAAATTTTCAAGGTCAATCTACTTAGAAACTCTTAATATTTTTCAGACTTACTGATAATTCAATTCTAAAAAGTTGATTTTTCTGCTCACTCGTTTGATTCTTCTGAAATAAAATCAAATTGTGTATATTGATAACTGCTTTCTGGGATGCTAACTTATGTCGTATGTACAAACTACTTTTCAAAAATTTATACTTGGAAGGTTGATTTGCAACTGGATTACTTCCAAAAAACTCCAGTTTACTTCTTAATATTTGAAGTTATCATTGTCCTCACATTTTTGCTTGTTGCATAACAATTCCTCGACATTATATATTATATATATATATTATATATATACATATATAGATTCTAACAATCTCAACTTATGATACAAATGGAAATTTTAATTTAGTAATCTCACCTGGCCTCACCCCTATTTTAACTCTCTTTCACACATTTGAGTAAAAACACCGTTTTTAAAACTGTTATAATTTAAAAGTTATAATAACACAGGCAACGCAGCGCATACCTCCAAAACTCCACCGATTGCGAATTGTTTACTATAGTTTATGAACGAAACCTTCTCGTAGCGGAAACCAACACTGCTTTGAATTATTTTGTAATTGGTTCTTGAAGATATAGAATTGACAAACCAACAAATCATTCAACTTTCGGTTGAATGCTGCAGTTACAGTTGTTGAAATTAAAACTGGAACCTTAATGCACGGTAGATAATCATCGAGTATTCGGTGTTCAAAAACTGGTAGAACTGGTAGGTGAGCCTATCAATTTTCGATTTGGCCTCATATTCAGAACATATTGTTATAACTTATACTTGTAGGGTATGGTTATTTCTTTTTACGTGGATTCTTGATTCCTAAGCAGACTTATTTCAGATGACAGTAATCGATCCCTCGTTTGTTCGATTGTTAAATCGTTTAGAATACAGCACAATGACTAATCAACAGGTAAATCACGGAATACAACTATTCATCAGTAGTTAAGTTTCTCTTGTCCGACTAATTACATCGAGTTCTCTAGTCCTGGTATTCTTTACCGCAGTGAGCTTCCAGCTATCGGAATCTTACCTCTGTCAACAGTGTGTAATTTCCTGGAGGTCCCACTTCTAACACCAGTGTCGTAACCTCTTCGACCCCGTAACTACCAACACCGATGTTATAGCTTCAGTACTCGCTATATCTCTAACACCGTTTTGTAGCTTCCAACGATAGTCAAGAGTTCGTTTATCCGTAGGTTCAAGATCTCCGTTAGATGAACACAACTTTGAACGTAAACTACGTCAAACGTTTATTTAATACCAGCAGTAATAGAAAGTAACTTAATCCTAACAACTACATAAAATCACATTAATTACATTTACGTCAATTGTGCTCCGTCTTCTGATTAGCTGTACTCCTCGTGTTATTCTACTCGTGTTTTTTTCGTGTTCTTTTTTTTCTCGTGTTGTCGGTCTATTTATACAGCTTTCTTTTACAATACATAAACATTTTACAATATGGCGTACTATAGATAATTATTGTTATAATTATGGAGCGCTGTATTTATAAAAATATTCATAGTCCGGTTTTTAGCATAGATACAATTTTTACAATCTATGGTTTGTAACCCAAAGATTACAAAGATAACAATAACTGAATAATAAATAATGCAATGCAATTCGATCATTCCCACGGTTATAACACTATTATAATTATTATTATTATGCGTATGTTTTATCAAAAGAGTTGGCCATTTTGTTCAACTTACTAATTTTATTAGGTATCTTCGGTTAATTTCGACTTATTCAGTTTTAATTGAGTTAATTAGATTAGAAATATTGTAAGGATTAGGGCGGTGCTTTTAAAAATTAAATTATATATTTTATTTCTATTTTAAAACTTAGCTTAATTAATTTTACAAACGCAAATAAAGGCTAATACTGTAATAAGCCGTTTGTTAACGTTAACCGCCACTCGTGGCGTAGAACAAAAGGTACTGAAATTTTAACAGTGCACGTTCTACTGTAAAGTCTAACAATTACATTTTGCCATATATATTTAAGTTAAATTCGTTAGATAATTTCTCACTTAATTCCGACAATAATAAATTCAAAAACTTGCTCTTGCGGTAAACAATGTAAGAACAAAAAAGGCCTCAATATACATCAACGGGTATGTAAAGTTTACCACAACTTCAATCATCTAATAACTCAAACATTCAAACTAAACCAACAACAACAGCAACAACGATGTTACGATGTTTCCAAAAACAATAATAACACCGCCAGCAACAACATTGATGCCATCGGCAACTGCATCATCAGCAACAGTGCCAACAAAGATTTGCAAAACAGCAACAACACCGTCAACAACGGCTTCAATATCTATGGAAACAACAACGACACCGTCTGCAACATTAATATCGGCAACAATGTCAACACCACCGACGGCAGCAACAACCAATCATAACAAAAAGTTCTGCATACCCAAACAATTGATTAAACATAACAATTGATTAAACATAAAAATTGGAACATATAATAACCATTCCTTTAGCTTTTATATCAGCTCCATTGTTTATAAGTAATTTACATGATTCTAATTGTGAAGATCTGGTAGCAAGATGGAGGGGAGTTTCATTGTGGTTATTGGTTGAATTAACAATAGCTCCTTCAGTCAACAGTAATCTTACTATATCAGTATTCCCCATAAAGGATGCTATGTGAAGTGCGCTTAAACCTGCCTTTACGTTAGTTTTTTTTAAATCGTCATAAAAAAATTTAAATTATAAATATATTTTTAATTTAAAACTATATTATTTTTAATTGTTAAAATGTTTGCATTAGATTAATTATTGGAATGTTATAAAACTTAGACATAATAAAGTCATTTATGAAGCACCAATGCATGCGACTGAGGCGCCCCCGGACGAATATAATAAAAGTCACGGCAAATGAATAAAAGTAATAATAAGTATGATGGCTCAAACAAATAATAAAACAAAGTTACAAATTGAAATTATAGTTGTTTAACTAAAAGCAGCGTTTAAATAATAAGTTTTCAAGGTTGATTTGAATTCATAGAGAAAACTGGAATTTATGATGTCAGGAGGAAGAGAATTCCAGACGATAGCAGCAGCATGATGAAATGCTCGTTTCCCAGTGTTGGTTGATGAAATATTTTGAAAAGTGACGGAGCCTTGGCAGAGCAGAGATGTTTATGGTTCGTATTTAGATGAAGAAGACTATAGAAATATGTCGACGAATGTGATGAAAACAACGACGTTAGATCATAGATTCCTTGTATTATCTGGATACATCAGTTCTCACAACATCACAATGAACATCCAGGGGCGGATCCAGGTCATCTAGTAAGGGGGGCGATTTTTATCCATCATGGCAACCCACAACTGCCTGCAAGGCGGGCAAGCCCACAAATAAAAAAACGTTTAAATTATTTTTCAATTTGCCCTTTAAATAACAATTTATGTGACTAAGACATTACGGCATATACGTCGCGATCGTATCCGCATCGGCAAAGACGGTGCAAGTGTGCACGCTCGCGGTAGCATGCACTCCCGTATCATGTCAGTAAACTTAAATCTACTCTGTTCTATTAAAAAGAGTGATGTAGTAATCATATTATTTACTACGGATCCCATTATTGTAGTTTTAAGTAATCCTTTAAAATATGCACTTTTTAATTTTTTAATTTTATATCACTATTCACTTTTAAACAGTCTAACTTTCGTTTTCAAGCGCCATGATTGTGTATTGTGTTGTGTTACTTAAAAACGACAAAAATAGTAAATACAAGTTACTTTTAAATTAAAACATTCATTAATTATTGTTTATAATACTATAAAATATTAGGAACAATTACAACAAACCATTATCATCGGAAGAAAATGAAGAGAACAAATTTTTTACAACCACAGAGCACTTTGGATTCATTTTTTGTGACATTGAAGAGAAAAAAGTCTGTTAACTAATTACAACTAATTTTACTGTCACTACTGAAGTTGGTGGAACAACTAAACTTCCACTTCCAACCACATCAGCAGAAGCGTCAACAAGTAATAGTATTTCTACTGAACATGTTGAACATGAGATAACAGAAACAAGTAATAATATGGACAGCAACAGCCGGAATATGAATGTCAATTCAGTAGTCATAGCTCATGGTAGTCTTTTTTCTGAAAATGAACAGATTTCAACTGAGACTGGAACAGCTGAAATTGCTAAGGCATTTTCTAGTAAGATTTTAAATACTGAGTTTATCAATGATATTGGAAAATTTGTTGGAACATTTATGGATGATTTGACAAAAAAAAGTCTGTTAGAATCGCCATGGAAGCCACCAGCTGACTACAAAATGCCACATTCACTTCACAAGAAGAAAAATAAACAAGAAAAGCGATATCTTAATCATTCTCATCTGGAAAAATATGAATGGCTAGTTTATTCAGATAATAAAAAAGGACTGTACTGCAAATATTGCTCATTATTTTCATACCACCTGACTGCAGGATCTCACAAACAAATGGAACTTCAGTAGCTTGTTAAACAACCATTACAAGTGTTTGCTAAACTGTTTGGCAAAGATGGAGATTTAACAATGCATGACAAAGCAACATACCACAAGGAAGCTGTTGAAGCAGGGAGGTGTTTTTTAAAAAACTATAATGAACCAGCAATAAATATTATAAACAGAGTAAATGCTCAACGGCTTCAGCAGGTTTTAGAGAATCGTCAGAGATTGATACCTATTGTGGAAACAATTATATTTTTAGGAAGGCAGAATATTCCAGAGGTGAACATGGGTTGGGTTAACCCATGGGTTGGGTTGGGTTGGGTTGGGTCCAAATTTTTTAAAGTTGTGTGGGTTGGGTTGAAATTTTCAAATTTTATTATAAATAATTTATTTCTGTATTTTTTTTTATTCTTAAACGAACATTTTAACTAGTTAATAATCGGTGTATTTTATATCGCTGTAATATCATTGTATCTTTGGTCTATCGTTTCCACTTTCTTTTAGTGATTATTGAGTTGAGTAAAAGTTAACTTCTTTCCGATCGAGAAAATTAGTTTTATTTACAAGTATGGCAGAATCAGAAGAAATTCAGCGTCATTTGAGAGGTTTGTGTGATTTAAATTTGCTAAGTTTGCGAAAGTAAAAAATCTAATAAATTTCACATTAACATTTTTACATTTTTTATGTTTTAATTCCTTTTTTAAAGATTTAATTGTTATTTTTCATAATTTCAAATCTCTTCAGTCTTTACAGTTACACTTTACAGACATCAGAATTTTTTCTCAATTGCTCATTTTACTTATTTACCTGATATTCATGTTTCATTTTCTTTCTTTTTTCTACCTAGAAATGGTTTATTTTTCAAATTTTAGTTGGGCGCTGTTGAAGTTTAGAAATCCCATTCATTAGATAAATTTAATTGATTGATTGAACATACTTAAGTATTTAAATATTTATTCTTTCCAGAAAAAACAGGGTGGTATATATTAAAAGCACCCACAAATTTAAAATCAGAAATTTGGCAGAAATTTCACATGGTTTTTCAAAAAAAGGAAAATGATGAAAGCGAAATTCCCGTGAATTACTATTGTGCATGTATTAAGTGCAATAAGGTATATCAGTTTAAAGATTCATCAGGTAAAAACTTTGGCACTAAAAATCAGCAAGAACATATTAAACATTGTGCTGTAGTCTTGCCAGTCACAGTTGAAAATCCAGCAATGCTTGAAACGAAAAATTCAACCGTCTCCTCAAGAATTAATGATGTTGAAGCATAGACAGATCTTTTTCTGTGTTGATGGTTACCACTCATTCAAATCTGTTGAAAATAAAGGGCTTCTCAATTTGATGCAGAGCTGTGTTGAGTTAGGTGCCAAATATGGAAAGTTTGATGTTTCTGACGTTGTTGTGGGAAAATATTAGTAACATTTAATTTTTAATTAATTTTCATGTTATTTTATTACACTTGCAGTGTAATTACTTCACCAGTGTGTTTTATTACACATATGATCTTGTATTTTTGAGTTCTGCTTTTTAAATATCATTTGTAAAAATTTGCCTGTTTGGTAAAATTGCGACTCGTGCAGATGGGTCGTGGGTTGGGTTGGGTCGGGTTGAAAAGTTGCATTTTCAGGCGGGTTGGGTTGGGATGGGTTGAGTTAAGTGATGGGTTGGGTTGGATCAGTAAAAATGGACCCATGTCCACCTCTGAAGTATTCCATTCAGAGGACACAGAGATGATGGCAGTATATTAGACAAAGATGATGAAGATTCTGATGTGATTAAAAATGAAGGTAATTTCCGAGAATTGCTAAAATTTAGAGTAAGCAGTGGAGATTCAAATTTAGAAAATCATTTAAAAACGGCTAGAGCATCAGCAACCTATATTAGCAAAACCACACAAAATGCGTTAATTAAATGCTGTGGGGAGGAAATATGTGAACAAATTTTGAGTCGCGTTAGAGAATCAAAGTATTATGCTATTATGATTGACGAGACAACCGATGCATCACATAAGTCGCAAATGACTATAATATTACGTTACTTGCTGCCTGATGAATCAGTTCGAGAAGATTTTGCAGGATTTGTTGATCTACATGACAACAATTACCAATCTGATATTACTGCATCAATTGACACTGAACCTATTCTTGACGGCAAAATTATTGGTCAATCGGTTATAAACATGTTTTCAAACAAGTTCCACCTTTCTCTAGAAAACTGTGTTGATGTGGGAACAGATGGTTGCAGTGTTATGTCTTCGTTACAAAAAGGAGCAGTAGTTGAAATTCAAAAAGTTGCAGTGAATGCAGTCTGGTGTCCTTGTTATAACCATGCTTTAAATTTAACTTTATCAAAAAGTTCGAATGTACAAGCAATAAGAAATTGTTTGGGTGTTATTAGTGAAGTAGTTGCTT